AACAACATTTCTTTTTTTTTTTTTTTAACGTGGGTTATCTCAGTTTCTTAACAGCCGAAAATGAAGAATAGTTCGCTTTTATTTGCCTAAGTATCGAGACAGCTTCGCATTACTGCTTAATCTCGTTAAACATCAAATATAGGGTCTCTGAGGAACAGCTACTTTACCTCAGCAACAGCAAATGTAGGATGTGTTTTTATAAGCTTTCAGGTGTTTACATTGTCTGTGCATTATCATAAAACAAATATTTGGACTGTACCATAGCTCTGTCCGCTAAGAAAAATAAATGCTAGGAGAAATTTTTCTCCCCAATATTTCTGTTTCATAATGTCACCCAAAAAGGAGAAGTTACAAGGAACTTTTCAAAGTTCCAGCAGTTTTCTTCTAAAACCAGCATGTTATATCATACTTTCATAATTTCACTACAAGTAAACTGTGGCTATATTCTGGTGTTAAAACCACCCCTTTTTTTAAAAACAACAACAACAATAATTGCATTATCTGGCTGTTTGTCTCAGGAAAAAAAAAAGCTTCTTTAACTTTTCTCGATTGCATCATAATACTGTCATAATTAGAACGCCAATCTTTCTTAATTTGGGGCTTAACAGCTCACACCGATTTCCCCCAAATTCCTAATTTTTTGTTTTCACACAGATTTTTAAAAAGTGAGCAAGGTGATGTGCCATCTCCAGTCTATAGGCAATGTTTCCCTGGTCTTGTAACCGGTCTCACACTAAGTGTCAAATTCGAAAAAAAAAAAAGTCTCTATTTTCTTAGAAACGTGAAATTGAAAAAAAATTGATTTTAATATCTTGGTAAAAAAATTATCTGCACAAATGAGCATTGCAGAGCATTAGATTTAGCATAAGGTACAGTTTCTACAAGGGATTTGCAGAAAAAACTCTCCCGGTGACAAACACAGCTCAGGCTTTTTAAGACAAGCAAGCTACAGCAAACACAAGCTCGGCGGCGTCTGGGCTGTAAAGCAGCCCGGTACGTTCCACATCTGCAGGCGAGGGCAGCAGTGCAGATAAGGCAGGCTGGGATTCA